TTCTTGAGACTCACGTCCCCTTATCGTCTGAGCTGCAGAAGAGCCTCTGTAGGGAGCAGAGCAAAGCCGGTGCTGTGCCCCGCAGACATTGTTAGCATGCGACAGCCAGCCTGTTGCAGTCCGGGGAGCAGCAGCAGTGCCTCCTCGTCTTTGCTCACTGACCTTACAGCTCCTGCCTATTTCAAGTACTGCACGGGAACAGCGCTTCATATTGTCTTCAGAATAAAGATAGGGTGCCTCAAGCTACCGATAAGATTATCCCTACTTTAGAAACACAGTTACAGAGCTGTTGTGGGAAGAAAAAACTCTTTTTGCATCTACAGTGGGACTTCAGCACTGGTATGACTTGTACTGAGAGGGGGCAACTTTCATCACGCATTTGTTAGCTTTTTCATGTATCAGTGTGAGCTGTGTGTCTGCATTCCTGTTTCGCCTGATGTTAAAAATGTTCTGTTTTAATTAAGAGTTGATAACTGGGACCTTTTTTTGTTTGTTTGTTTGTTTTGTTTTGTTTTGTTTTGTCCTGAACAAGTCTAGGGGTGAAAGGGAAAGCAAAGATTAGAAATTAGAAGTACTCCCTCTTGCTCACAGCTAATGGTGAGAGGACCCATTGTTGCACTGAGGCATATGCATCAATACTGTCATATCAAGGGCATAATTGCAGAAGAAGAAACAAACAGACCATCTAGACAGGGGTGGCATTGAGAGCATTCTGTGTGGTTGTTGCTCCACTCATGTCGTTCTCAAGAGTCCTTATGCTGCTTTTCAGCAGCTCTTGCTTGTTTCTGTCATTCCCACTGAAAGAAAGCAATTTTCAGACAGCAGCATGCAGTGGTTGGGACCCTACCACTGACAATCTAAAACAGTTTTAAGGCAATTTACATTTTAAAAAATGAAAATCTCTCAGAGTGAATCTTCTATGTTTCGTAACATTTTGTGTATATCTTCTATAATACGTGATAGCCAGCTGTGTCTCTGAGAGAAAACAAGCCTTCCAGCAAAGATTAAAGCAATTGTTATTCTTCAAACACTGATCAAGCTTATGAATTTTTTTTAACTGAATTCAGTATGGAAGGAAAAAGGCACTTTGGTTCTACTTTCATTAATGAGTGGGCAAATTGTTTCTGACTGGGAACAGAATATTATCAAAACTGATAGCATCCCCTCTGGAAAGAAAAAACTAGTTTCTACTACAAAGGAAGAACAGAGAAACGTGTGCAGCACTGACTTTTTTCATTACAACAATACGCAGCCAGATACCTTAGAATGGGTTTAAAGACAAACTTGAGCTAAGACTGCATCTCCAAAAAGGAGGGGCAAAGGGAGGCCTGTTTGCACCTGTAGTTGCTCTGGTCTTCCTTGCATGCAATCTCAGAATTGCTCAGCTTTGGAGTATGCCAATTTTTGCTCAACTCCCTCGTCCAGCTGAAAACTAACATTGCCAGAAAACAAACAAACAAACAGTTTATTTTTCAGCTGGATGGGTGAGACAGTCTGATGTAAGCAGGCCAGTGCAGTTGGGAAGACAGTTGGGAGTGGAAGCACAGGCCAGGACTGACCTCTGCCTTCAACACTGGAGCTTCCAGTAAGTTTAAGCTGTGATAAGTTAAAATCCTTCCAGTGCCCTCTCTCATCTAGGCGCTCTTCAGATCTCAAACAGGGAACACAGCTCCTAAGAAGACTATAGAGGGCAGAAATTTCACAGGTTCAACAGAGCAAACTCCATAGTAAGGAACTCGGACACGCAGTAACCTGGAACTCTCAGATTTTCTGTGCCTTACAGTTGCTTTTTAATATATAAATACCACCACATAGAAACACAGAATCATTAAGGTTGGAAAATGCCTCCAAATCATTTAGTCCAGCCTATGACCAAACACCACCATGCCAACTTAGCTGTAGCACTAAGTGCCATGTCCAGTCATTTCTTGAACATTTCCAGGGATGGTGATTCCACAACTGCCCTGTGCAGCCCATTCCAATGCTTAACTGTGCTTTCAGTGACAAAATTCTTTCCAGTCTCCAACCTGAACCTCCTCTGGCACAGTTTAAGGCCATTCCCTCTTGTCCTGTTGCCTACGAGAAGAGGCTGACTGACTGGATACAGCACCATTCACCACCACTCTTTGGGCCTGGCCATCCAGACAGTTTTTCACCCAGCAAAAAGCAAGCCTGTCCAGGCCATGCGCTGCCAGCTTTTCCAGAATACCATGGGAGATGATATCAAAGGCTTTGCTGAAGTCCAGGTAGTCTACACCCACAGCCATTCCCTCACCCACTGGGTGTGTTGCTGCTCATAAAAGATCAGGTTGGTCAGGCAGGGCCTGCCTTTCAGACACCCGTGCTAGCTGGGCTTGCTCCCCTGGTTGTACTGCATGATGGTACTCAAGATGATCTGATCCTTGACCTTGCCCAGCGCTAAAGATAAGGCTGACTGACCTGTAGTTCCCCAGATCCTCCTTCTTGTGGATGGGTGTCACACGGGTTAACCTCCAGTTAATTGGGATCTCTCTGGTTAGCCAGGACTGATGATAAAGAGGCTGCTCCCTCAGTACCCTCGGATGAATCCCATCTGGTCCCAAAGACTAAATGGGACTAAATGGCTCAGCAGTCCACCAACTGCTTCCTGCTGGATTGAGGGGACCTCTTCTACTTCCTGTCCCTGTCTACCATTTCAGGGGTCTGTTTTCCCTGAGGATAACTGGCCTTTCTATTGAATGCTGAGGCAAAGGCGGCATCAAGTACCACAGCCTTTTCCTCATCCTTCATTCCCCTCTGAATCCAATAAAGGATGGAGATTTTCCTGGGCCCTATTTAGGATGTTAATGTATTTATAAAAACACTTTTTATTATCGTTCACATCAGTAGCCAGATTGAGTTCCAACTGAGCTTTTGAATTTCTGATTTTCTCTCTACATGACCTAACAACATCCTTGTATTCTTCCTGAGTTTCCTGACCCTTTTTCCAAAGGTCATAAACTCTCTATTTTTCCCTGAATTCCAGTGAAAGCTCCTTATTCATCCAGGCCTGTCTTCTTCCCAACCAGCTCCTCCTTTGGCACACAGGGACAGCCTGCTCCTTTGCCTTTAAGATTTCCTTCTTGAAGTATGTCCAGCCTTCCTGGACCCCTTTGTTTTTAAGGACTGTTTTCCAAGGGACTTTCTGAAACAGTGTCCTAAACAGGCCAAAGTTCACCCTCTGGAAGTCCCAGGTAAAAGTTTTTCTGACCCACTTCCTTATTTCACCACAAATTGAAAACCGTATTTTCATGGTTGCTATGCCCAAGATGGCCTCTGACACCATGTCTCCCGCCAGACCTTCTCTGTTTGTAAACAGCAGGTCAAGCAGGGCCCCACCATTTACAAGCTGTGTCAGGAAGTTATTTTCCACACACTCCAGGAACCTCCTAGATTGCCTCCTCTCTGCTGCCATGAGCTTACAGCAGACATCCAGCAAGTTAAAGTCTCCCACGAGAAAAAGGGCTAGTGATAGTGAAATGTCAGCCAACCACTTATAAAATAGTTCATCTGCCTATTCATCCCGGTTGGGTGGTCTATAACAGACTCCCACCAGGGTGTCTGCCTTGTTAGCCTTCCCCCTGATCCTTACCCATGGACACCCAACCTAATCATCACTAGCACTGAGCTCGATACAGTCGAAACTTCCTAATGTACAGAGCCACCCCATCACCTCTTCTTTCTCTGCTATCCCTTCTGCAGAGTTTGTAGCCATTCCTTGCAATGCTCCAGTCATGGGAGTTATTCCACCATATTTCCATGATGGTGACTATGTTATAGCTTTCCTGCCGCTCAGTGGCCTCTGGCTCCTCTTAATGAAATACAGTGGAGTGGCACTGTCTAATGTTTATATACTAGGTATGATGGAGATACAGTTGTGGGTGTCATAAAGATGCTTAAACAGCTTTGACATTTAAGTGATAGGATTGTAACTACTCAGTTCAATAGGCTCTTGGGGCTTTTTTTCTTTTCCATCTCTGTAGGACAGTCACAATTGCTCAGACGTCTTTATTACCATAATAAAGTTTGGATTTAAAGTTCAATTTTAATTTTCTCAGTACTGCGAGTTATCACAATATTCCTACAGTACTACAGGTAATCCCAGTATTCCTACAACGATTATAGCCTTTGAATTACTTATGTGAACTGGACCTTGTTCAGCCATCCATGGCTTTTGTCAGGCATTCAGCAGCAGTACCGGGACGAAGGTGCTCATCTGGCAGGGAGCTCCCTCCAGCAGACTTTTGTTTGGCCCTGCAGTCCAGCTCCAAGATCTGGTTCCTTCAGTCACACTCCAGAGGCATCAGCTTCTCTGGAGTACTAAGATCCTGATTCAGGCACCTGTTAGGCTACGTGGTACCTTCCTCTCTGTAAAACTACAAAACATTCACATATAATTCCTGGATAACAGTCACAGTAAGTTTAAGCTAAATAAACTATACTATGAATAAATTATTCCGTGAAGAATTCATGTAAGAGGCAAGGAATTCAGTCTTTCTGCTTATTTTGTAATGTTTCTCAGCAGTTTCTCACATCCCAGGTAAAAATGGCCACCAAAGCATTGATCCTCATTAAGATGCATAAGGCAGAACATAAACACTTATTCCATTGCTTACTTACTAAAAATAAAGCTATAGGCTTTCTGGTGGGGAGTGGTTCATCTACCTAGTCCAATGTGGGAATCGATTAGCATGTAGAGTAACCAAAATACATTTTAATAAGAAAACGCAGGCTTCACTTGCTTAGGAAAACCACTGTAATTTAAAATTCTAAGAGAAAGGCCTTTCTGAGCGCTGTGCAATGTATTCTTAGGAGTAATGTGTGCCTAAAAGAATAGTTGTGTTTTATGGACAGTTGACTTGTTCAAGACAATACAAGATACAAATCTGATGTAAAATGTCAAAGAGCAAACAGGGTGGGAATTAAGGTTCACAACACGCTTGTGTTCAGGCTGTGCCGTTGCCACTGTGAAAGAACAAAGCATGCAGCGCTTGAGCTGATTCCAGGGAGTGCTCAAAAGATGCAGATAAATCCTGTGACTTCAAATAAATGCCACGGTTTCCTCATATCTTTCTGATGATACAAGAGGCTTTATGGTTCGGGTTTGAACAGTGAGCCAGGAGAGATGATCAGGTTTCACTCATTTAGTTTATATTACCTAGGAGATAAGCAGTTTCCATCTTCAAGGCTTAAAGAGTAACTCCCTTTCTTGGAAATGTACTGTTGATTGTTAATTCCACTAGAAAGCTGGGGTCCAGCTGCAATCATTCACTGAGGTGCAGGTAAGTTAGAGCTTCTTGTTATAAAAGGTAGTTTCACTGAATGAGAAGTTGTTTTTCAGGTGCCAAATAGGCTTGATAATAGCCTCAATTTAGTGTACCATCAGTCAGAACAAAACAAGGATATAATCCTCTTTTTGCTGCACTACTGCAGTATTTTATAACTACTACAGAATTAAAAACTGTAATGGGGCCATTGATGATTGCTTGTTCATGTGAAAATATTTTGACTTTTTCAATTCTTTTTTTATTTTGTGGGTTGACTAAAGTATTAAAATGGTAACAGTAGCCTGAATGGAACAGTAATACTTATTAATATTGAAGATTATTTGCTTCAGAAGGAGTTTTTTTGTTTATATCAGGAAAGCATGAGAGAGATGGGTTATCTGTTTGGCATGAAGGCGAAGAGAAATGCAGTTGTGTAGGTGAAACATGTACATCATGACTTAAAAAAAATTGAGTCATTTTGCTGAACTTTTTTCTTTTTAATTACACACTTTACTGAGTAACAAAGAAAACAGTGAACTGTGTCTGCCCTCTCTCAAAACCCATTCACTGCTGCAGAGAAGAGACCACAGCAATTAGCAGCTGGCAAAACATCACACTCAGCAGCTGCTGGTTTTTTAAGTGGTGGTTGTGGTTTCCCTAAATACAAAGTAAGACAGGATTTCGTCACCACTTGCTATAAAAATAATGACAAGCATGCTTTATGTTACAAAGCCACTGAAAATGTAGTTTAGAAGTTGTATTTTCAGAGATGAGAATGTTTGGCAGCTAATCCCGAAGCCCAGAAAGGAAGATTTGTCCCAAATGCAGAAGCCCATGCAAAAGTCAGGTATAAAAGCCAAACCAACCACCTTCAGTATGGTGCTAAATGACCAGCTGAGCCCTTTTCCATCTAGCCTTTTCCTTTCTGTAGCTGGTTGGCAAATAAATACCTAGGCTGGTGTTTTTACACACCATATGTATATTTTAAGCACTATTCAATTGTTTGTGGAATTCTGCATTTAATATCACAGTAATCAGGGGTTTATCTCCCAATGTACCGAAGGGCTTATTTCTTCCTCCAAGGAGCTAAAAGTTAATAACAGGCACAGAACAGTGGGTGGTTAGAATCAGTAAGCTAAGGGGAAAGTAAGCAAGGGACTGGGCTGAGAGATCATGGTTGTTTTCATAGCTCTGCTTCTGATGTGCTGAGTGATGCTGGATAAACCTCTCTGGTGGACATCTCCACCTCAATAGCATGTGTTTTCTTTGTCTATATTGCCAATGTTTTGAGGATAAGACTCCATTTCTTATTACATGTTAATAAAGGGTCTATATCAATGAAGTTCAGTCTAAAGTGTCTACAGATTACTTTTTTGTCTGTCCATGAGACAAGAGCAAGCAACCAAGTATGTTTACCTCTGCCATTTGGGGGCCTCCACCTTCCACTGGAAGCATCTGAAGGATGAAATAGGTGGGAAACCTTTGGCTCACATCAGCCTGAGAAGCACAGACTGCCGCATTACCAACCAGTAGCTGCGGTCGTGGCAGGAGTGAACAACTTTGCCAGCACACGGCCCGGAGAGCTCTGTTTGCTCAAGGGCTGTCACGCCTTACCTGGCTTGTTTTTGGAGAGCCTTAAAAAGCAATGAGTATCAGTACTGTATTAAGGTTACAGCTTTGCTTATTCTATGATAAGAGATGAGCTGCCTGAAGAAGTCAAAGTTAACTTTTGTACCTTCTGTTTTCTCTTGTTTACTCTCTTATAAGGACCTGGAGATCACCTTGGCTTTCTCGCCATTCAGGAGGAACCAAAGGTGTTGCAAGGTTAGTGGCTTGTAGTAATAGTTTTTCAGCTCCTATTGCAGATGTGAAACAGTTTGAACAGCTGATGCATGGGCAGGTTGGTAGTGTGACTTTGAATGGAGTTATACTGTTCCTTGGTGTTCCCAGGAGGTTTCCTCATCCCTCCTCTTCTATAGAACTGGAGCACTGGAATAGATGCACCATGACAGGGACTAGTGAACTGTCAGGAATAGTTTCTGCACAACTAAGCTCTTTTAAAGCCAGATAAAAAGCAAATCAATGTTTTTCAGCCTGTGGACTTCACACCTCTGGTAGTCAGTAAGGAAGCAGTAGGCAGTCCATGAAACAAAGGCTCAGCAACCATAAAATAGATGCACACTTCCTTGTATCAACAGGGAAGATAAGGGGGAAAATGCAGTTACTTAATGAATATCTGAAGTTAAGCTTCATTATTTGTTTGGTTGTTTATGGAAACCATTGTGCCAATGCTTGTTTTTCCTTTTCCTTGGTGTTTGGGGAAAAAAAAAAAAATGAAAAAAGAAAAAAAAAAAGAAATGCTGTGATATACTAAAAAAAGGGTAAGTTGTAGGTACAGCAAAATACTCCCCAAGAATGTTTAGATCAGAAAAAAGAGCTTTTCCATCTCTCAACCTGTGAGGATAATTCAGTTTGCATGTCCAGAATTCATAGATCCACTGTTCACAGGACTGTGTTCTTTCTCTTATTTCTCACCATTGCACCTCCATTTCCCAGAACACTGTGCCTTCTACATGTAATTTTTCAGTTCTCTGAGCTCCAAATTGTCTGCCCTCTTTGTGCCTCTCACACTTTGGATGCTTTCCACACTTCTTTTTAGTTATTCAGTTTGTTCTTGCATTTTCTTACTGTCCCTCCCCGCTCCCCCAGTTTTCCTCCACACAAAGATACCTTTTCTACTTTTAAAGTAATTAAATTAGCAGAGCTGATTGAAATCTAGGTGAAGTTATTCTCTGAGCCCTGTGCCTTTCAACAGATGCATTACTCAGTGTACATTAGCCAATCTTCTGTGGACCTCAGTGAATGACAGAAATGAATATTTGATGGATATATTCAATGACAATAGCATTATTCAAACACTTTACTCAGTAAAGTACATTCAGCACACTCAGAAGTTAATGGTGCATTCAGGTTACTCTGTTTGCTCAGCAGAGCACGTGCCCAGACCCAAGGGAGGAAACCAAGTTATTTGTACATCTGAGGGAAACCAAGGGGTGGGGAGGCTGTTCTGGTCATTTGTGTCTCTAGTGAGCAGGACAAAATGTGTCCATATGTTGGTGGTGGTTGGTTTAAGCCACATCTAGGGAGTCAGTGATGTATGTGAGGAGGAAGAGAGATGACCTGCTCTATTTACTGACTGGCAGAACTTGTTCTCATGGTTATCACTTGAACTTCAGTTGAGAATGAGTAAAACAAACCAATGTATCTCTAATCTTCAGCTTTTGTCCAAATTGGGGTGTGCATGGGGATCTGTGTATCGAGCAAGGGGTTGAAGTAAATCTAACCTCACTTCTTGCTCCATTCAACATTTTCTTGAGCACTTAGTGGGTCCCTTCCAACTCAGAATATTCTGTGATTCTGTGGAACAATCCATCTTCTACTGATTAAGACTCTTTAGTGCCTCCTTTGCAATTTCCAATTGAGACCAAGTCTTTTTTGTAGTCTTTATGTTAACAGTGCCAAATAGATCCTGCTTTGGCCATTCTGTAGCTTTTTTAAACATTTGAGTAATTTCACTGTTAGCCTCAGCACTGGACATCACCTTGATGTAAATTGATGTCATCTACATTTTCCACAATCTACTTAATTTCTTTAGCCAGCTTCCCTTCTTGACTCCCTTTGATTCATTCTGCACAAAATGAACCTCCTCTGACTGGTAAGGCTGAAATCTCTCCTTTTGGCTACAAAGGATTGAATCACATTTTTATTTCTCTTGTCCTTAGGTTAGTAAGAACACAATTCTGTCAGTGTCACACCCTGACACCACTCAGCATCTGCTTTGATGTGTATTGCCACTTTAGAAGTCTTACAAAACCTGTAACACTGTCATATTTTTCCTACTGCTCAGCTGTGTGCTTATTAGATTTATTTTATTGTTGTCTGAATCCTCACCTTGCTCTGAATTTCATACAGCCCACATAATGCTTTTGTCTTCTCTAGCTTCAGGTAACTTAACCTCTCATCAGTCTGTGCCTGTGCTGTCCCATGAAGTCAATTTTCTCTTGTTTATCTGTTGAGTAACTCCTTATCTTTGAGGTACATTTTAGTTTTTCCATTCCATATGTTCTTTGCAAGGCTTCAGTGAATTAATTGTATTTTCAAAGCACACAAAAGCATCAGTTAACATCCACATCTGTAGCAAGAGCAGTGCATAAAGCAAACAAATCTTCTGAAGGCACATTAGCAGCTCCTTTGAACAGAGGGGCTCTGCCACTTACAACCCAAACACTAATACGAATCAGGCTCTGTGGCCCTTTAGGCTTGAAGCTGAATGTCCTGTACAACCTTGCCTGCAGTCCTTTAATAGATTTCATTTTCTCCTCAACAGAGCATATAGAGCAGGAACCATCTTCAGATCTGTGAAATCCTCAAGGTGGATTTCTCAGTCTATATTTATGTGTCTCCATGGCCTGATTTCCACCAATGCTGGTTGCCACTGATTTTTGTGCCTTGCTGGTGACCCAGCATATCTTTTATTTCTGTTCAGCTGAAGGCTCAGGACTGGTATAATTCCAGGCATGGATTGATAGGTGACATCAGGCTTTTTGCATTAGAGAAGGATGGTGTGGTTATTGTGGCCATTAGCAAAAGCCCCTTTCAACCGTACTCATTTTACATGGCATAGCAAAATTCAGTCTTCCCTTCAGCAGTGCTTGGGCACATCTTAAAAATCCTAGGAGGGGTCTCTTTAGGTTTTCTGTCAAATCTCCTCCAGAGGACAGCTCATCCACAAGAGGCACACATATGTGCTCACATTCATACTTGCTCCTGTGAACACTTTGTTTCCTTGCCTGTGCTTTATCAGAGTGGTATCATCACGCTTTGCTGTTCAGCTCCTTTGAGACTGATGCAGTGATTGCGTGCTACTTACCTAGAAAGCATCAAAGCCCTGGTGCTGCTGTCTTCAACAGCTTGATTTAATCTTCCGCTTGAGCTCTGTTTACAGACATGGAGGACAGAAACAGCTCTTTAAAGAGCTATTTCACACATTCACTATCCTCCAAACACGTTTAAAAGCATAGCAGCATATGTCTGAAAGGATATAAGCTAACTGGTATTTCCCTGTTATTTTTTATCTGCGGCATAAAGAAGTAGCTTGGTAACCATTCTTCCCAGTATAAATCAGCAATATATTAATTCCTGCAGCTGTCCCTCAGTTCCTCAAGTAAGTCATGAGCTCTAACGGTAGCACTGCAGGAACACCCAAATAACCTTGCTGCCCAGCAGAAGTCGGGCCATAGGCAAAGGTCATGATGGGCTGTAGAATCAAGAGAGAGCAAAAGAAGTACTGAGCTTTACAGAATCACAAATTCCTTTAGGTTAGAAAATACCTCCAAGATCATCAAGTCCAACCTTTGGCTGATCACAACCTTGTCACCTAGACTGTGGCACTAAGTGCCATGTCCAGTCATTTCTTGAACATCTCCAGGGATGGTGACTCCACCACTTCCCCGGACAGCCTGTTCCAATGCCTGACAATGTTTCCTGTGAAGCTTTGTGATGCTGTAGCCTGATTGCTACTTGTACTCAACCTTGCCAGTGGATGAACTTGCTCACACATCAGCAGTAACTGCAGCTACAGTGATGGGATTTGTATGTGCCACTGAGTGCCCCTGGTGGTGCAGTGGTTAAGCCGCGGCGCTGTCATCGCCGAGGCCTGGGTTTGATTCCCGGTCGGGGCCCCTCCCCGGGCAGATGGAGCTCGTTAGCCCTGTAAGGCAATCCATCTACATCCTGAGGACCTCGCTGCCACCGTCCAAGCTCGCTTGGCCCCGGCAGATGAACCTCAGGATTAAAGGGTGGGCTCAGTTCCACGCACACTGTGTCTCACCTTAAAAATCCAATGCGCAGGCTGGAAGGTGTAAAGACCTTCCCTGGTTCTTCATTCGCGAAGACTGGCCATTACATTACATTACATTACAACCACAGAGGTGTACATTTCCCCTCCTGCTAGGCAGAGCTTGCAGGAGCAGGAGATGGGATAAGGACATTAAAAGAACACAAAGATCTGGAAACTTCTGATTTCCCTTCTTGTATCTCCCAGACATTCTGTGTCTTGGGAATACATTTACTTTTGCTCTTACAAAACAAAAGATCCACTCAGACCTGGAGACAGGGTCAGGTGGAAAGGTGACTGTATATTCTTGGTGGTTATCTCAGGTCTTCTTTTGACTTGGACATGAGTCTCACTGCCAGTGGCTCCCTTAGACAGCTCTTCCAAAATATATGTTACAGATTTAGGACAGGGGAAGACTTGTGCAGTTAAAAAACTGTAACATACACACACACACACACACACATGTATTTTTGGAGTGATAAGATATACACATCATATACAAATGATAAGAAATACAACAAATAAGATACAATTAAGCAGGACAGGATTTAAAATATGGCACAAGCTTAACCAGAAGTTAGACCACAAACAAAAAGAAATCAATTTGCACATGTGTACTCAAGTTATTATGGGACATGTGGCTCCTATACATAAATATGAAAGTAAAATCTGATTTGCCCGTGCTTAGTATTTGCCTAACTGGCAGGGCTAAGTTAAGTGTACTTCAGTGGTAGAGTGCCAGCCTGAACTTGCCAGAGAAAGCTCTACCTGACAGTCAGAAGATCCGTGGGGGGAACACGCACATTTCTCACAAAGGACAGTTTAACAGAATGATTAAGCTTCAGCCTAATGGAGAAAATGTATTTAAACAGCACATAAATTTTGTGTAATAGCCTCTGAATGTACAAGTTATCAAAAATAAGATCAGCTTGTTGTTGTTTTCCTTTTTAAATGCCTGATTATTTTAAATTACTTCAGCTACTGCTTATATTTTATGTTGAATGAATGTCTCATTTTTCTTCACCCAAGAGGAAGCATCTCTCTGATCTTGTGTTTCTTTGATACAGCATTTCCTTCTTTCCTTGAAGACAAAAATGAGCTGGGGATTCCTACGTGATCTGCTGAGTGGAGTGAATAAATACTCAACAGGAGTTGGAAGAATTTGGGTAGCTGTTGTGTTCATGTTCCGCTTACTGGTTTATGTTGCAGCCGCAGAAAACATCTGGAAATATGAACATGATGAATTTGAATGCAATATCAAGCAGCCTGGTTGTGAAAATGTCTGCTTTGACCATTTTTTCCCTGTTTCCCACATCAGACTTTGGGCTTTGCAATTAATCATGGTCTCCACCCCTTCACTCTTGGTTGTTTTTCATGTTGCTTACAGAGAGAACAGAGAGAAACGCCACAACCAGAAACTTTACAGAAACCCAGGAGAGATAGATGGTGGGTTGCTGTGCACTTACCTAATCAGCCTCATTTTAAAAACAGGATTTGAAATAGTTTTTCTTGTTCTGTTTTATAAACTGTACAATGGATTCAAAATACCGCATCTTGTGAAATGTGACATAAGACCATGTCCCAATACCGTAGACTGCTATATTTCCAAACCCACAGAGAAGATGATTTTCCTCTATTTTCTGGTGGCAACTTCATGCCTGTGCATCATATTAAATCTAAGTGAATTGAGTTATCTCATTTTCAAATACTCCCTGAAATGTTACCTGAAGAGAAAGGTGAAGAAACAGCAAGGCTCCAAAAGCAATTGCCGCAAATCAGAAATCACTGGTTACAACAGAGCAGCAGCTGCAGGACGATTCCCTGACAGCTCCTCATCTTTGCCTTGAATACACAAGATGAACATAAAAAACGTTCCCCGTTGACTTGGAAGGAAGGCTGGAGACCACCCTCCCATTACACAAGCTGCTTTTGACAAATTGCTTTTCCAATCAGCGCTTTACGGAACTGGAAGGATAGTTACAGAGGAAATACTGTTTCTCTACTAGTTCCCCATTACTCGAGCTGATCAATTCAGTTACATTATGTATGTCATACATAAAATCATCCAGATCTTTTCATGTTGAAACAAGAAGAGTAGAACTCTGAGAATTCCATGAAGTTTTAATATAAACACAGATGCTTATGATAAATCATGTGAAACAATTGCTTACAGTTGTGTGTTGAATATTGCACAGAACTGCTTTGGTACAAGTGAAAAGAGGCTTTTTACATGCAGAGGTAGAAGAACCTGGGATTGATTAAGAAGCTGAACAGTAACGGGATGTACAGCATTTGTCAGCTGGGTGAATCTGATGACTGTTGAAACCGTAATAGGAAAGTGCTGGTGTTTGAAGTGAACTGTATAGTCACAAGCCCATTCCAGCGGACTAGAAAACATTTCAAAAAAAGAAAAAACTAGGAAGAGGTAGACATATCTATTTTGGCCCATGGTGACAAAGACAGACTTGCTTTTTTAGCTGCTTATGGAGCATCTCCTCCTGAAAGCATCTGAGCCCTTTACAATTTTAAGGGTATTAATCATCAGAATACATCCTCTAAGAAAAGGCACTTACTCAAACTTGTGCAAGTAGCACACACCAGTGCATAGAGTTAACTCCTGGTCACCTGCACCAAGCAGCTCCCCAGTCCTTAGACTTGTCTTCTGCTCTGTGGTTGTGGCATTTAAGAGAACGGATCATTCCCAGTTCCCCAGGAGGGAGTGGAGAAATGCAGACCACACAGTATGGCAGAACAGGAGCCAGCAGTCCCTAGTACTGAGTAGCCTGGAATCTGGTCCCTTAAGGCAGGCTGAAAATACCGCTGCTCTTTCCTTTGGTAAATTTCTCTACTGTAGAACACGTGAAATCTAAAAATATGAAAAACCTCTGGTAGAAATAAAGTAAAAAAGGATCATCTATTCCCTCCCCCCAAGTTTCTACATGTCTCTTAAATACCACACACTTCTGCTCTGTGTTATGTGTATCATTTGGGATAACTGGAAAAGGACAGAATTAGCTAAGACGTGTCTTCTGCTGAACCTAGACTTTTAAGACAACAGAAACTAGTGCCTTAAATAACTTATTTCAGTGTGCTCTTTCTGTTGCTGGAATGAAAGACCCTTGAACAGACAGCAGTACTGAGCCTGATCAAAATGAACCCTTTAGCATTAGGAGTACTGGGGTAGCAGTTACAGAATTAACTTTAGGAACTAATGAATAACCTACGTGCTTTAGACTGTGATTTCCAATGTGTGTTTTGTTTTTTCTCCCTAAAATAAACCTACTTTTATAAGGGTTTGCTGCTGAACTGAGCAGTGACAGCAGTCCCTCAGATACCAGCTTGCCAGCCTGTGGCCAGCTGAAGTTTTACACCTCGAGGGATGGTGAATCAGCACCTGTATCAAGACAAGGCGCTTTACAGAATTCAGGATGTTTCCTATAAAATCTCTACATACACAGAATGGGGCTCATGACAGAAATTCCAGTTAGGAAGTCTTTTGCAGTTACTGGACAAACCCACCAAAGAATACATGAAGCAAAACGACTGCCCATGAGCCCTGAGAAACTGTGACTTCCACAGTTTGAGCAACTGATAGCAAAATCCAAGATCATCTTGGCCCTTTTGTGCCCTCATACATAATTTTTTAAAAACAAAGGTAACACTATGATAGAAAAAAGTGTTTCTAAAATGTCTGGGTTTTAATTATTGAGGACATATTTTAAGACAGCACATTAATGAAAAAGTATTTATTCATTTTTTTTAAAGTAAGGTTTATTTGGGAAAAAATGAAGAGAAGCAAACACAGTTTAGACAACACAGGTTTCTGATAAAATTTGTGCATTAGCTGCTCTCTAATAAAAAAGTATATAAAAGTCAGCGCTTGAAGGGTTTTAAAGCATCCCCTAAAGCTCTGTGGCTGGTCAGAGATTCCCATTTAGACCAAAAATTTTTCCATGAAACAAGAACTCTAATTCTTTGGAATGTATGTTCAAAGTTTTATTTTTACTTCTATCTTCAAACAGCCATGAAATGATAAATAAATTCCAAAATCAGCATGTTTCGAGTCTTGGAGGATACTTCAGTTCTGACAAAGCCAGTACCTTACATGACAAATATTCTGAAAATTTATTACGGACCAACTCTGTGTAACCGACTCACTCACAGCAAACTGCCAAGTAGCCTTCACATCATGCACTGAAAAATTTGAGTATTTGACAGTGCAACTCATGAAAAGGGAGTGTTACACAAGGCAGCTCTGTCAGATTTTACTGAACCTGAGAGAACAGAAACTCATATTTTTCCGAATCCTTGTTCTTGGCCATCATTTGGTCTTTTACTGGCTCCTTCCCTTCCACAGCCCTTTCCCTGCCTTTATATATGCCTTTGTTCTCCGGTTTAGGTTTCACTCATCCATACATCCCTGAAGTGCTTGCTGTTACATTTTTTTGGTTCAAATGAGTTTACAGGCTTGGCCCCTAAACTTCTGAGTCACTGAAATAGACATGTTAAAAAATTTAATTCAAGGGCTATGTTCCACAAGGATATAAACAATTGATAAGAAGCTTATCTGAGCCCACACAGTAATGGAGAAAAAACCATGATCACTCCATGCACATTCATCCAAAAATATTTACCTCATTAATATTCCAAAAGATCAAAAGATCCATGTCTTACATACAATTTCATTTTCTTTAAAAATCCAGGTAAGCTCCCTGCCTTTGGATAGAACAGGTTTGAAAAAAAGACACAGAAAACTATTTCCCTATTTGCTGATAGTTTATTCCCTCTACTTCCTTCTCCAGTACCAGTGGCCTTCCCACCCCTTTAATAGTATCACCTTCTCCATGCCAAGGCTCCAGCCAGTGCTGAGCATGAGCTTCTTCAGCTCAGGGGACCTACACCTCAGGGCAGCATGTCCCTGCCTGCACAGGGGAGCATGTCCCTGCCAACTTTTTGGCACAGAAACTCACTGAAACAATCAGCCAACTACTTTTCCTCTCCTGATTCAACAACTGGTTCCAGTGTTACTTGTACAAGCATTTTTCACTTGCTATGCAAGAGCCATAGACTTGACATCCCAGTGTAACCTACAGTCCCCCCCTCCTGCGCAGAAGGACCAACCGAAACATGTGAGGACAAACCCACTACTCTTATTTACGCTAAATTAGGGATCAGAAAAGAGCAGATTTCTTTATAAACACAGTTAACCACAAGAGAGGCTGACTGTGACTTTCAATCACAAAACAGTCTGTTCTCTGCATCCAGCCAGACTCCTCGATTTGGTTGCTTCCCCATCAGCACCAACTTCTGTTTTATTCATTCCTGATGGCAACAAGGCGTTAAAAGAAAAAGCCTTTGCTTGAATGTCATCCCCCACTCCGGTTCACAGGTGACAAGTCTGGAAGACAGAGACAGAGGAAGGAAAAAGGCAAGGCAGAAGACAGAGAGGGACAGAGCAGCAGGGCCAGCAGCACCTTTGGGTGTGGGGGCACCCTGCAGGCTGAGGTGCTGCTGGTAGAGCTGCCTTGGCCAGTCTGGAGCCCCATCCTGTCCAGCTGCCCCAAGGGCAGGGTATCGCTCCAGAGAAACCATCCGTTCAGGCACCCTGCCACTGCTACAGCGGGAGGTTTCCTACATCACCCAAGGTAAAACATCCAAACGCAAATACTGTTTTTATTTCCTCAGGAGCCTTTCTAGGTGGCACTACCAAACCAGAGTGCCCTCTGCAGTCTGTGACATCTTAAACCAGACCTGCCTTTGGTCCCCCACTTAAACTTCAAAACGCTTTATTTTAAAAAAGAAAAAAACACCACTAGCTTACCTGTGTCAGTACCCACCTAAAAGGGTCAGGGAAGGCACCAACTGTATTGGTACAGCACCTACTTTAATTGGATTGAGATGAGACAGTACTAAATATTTCATTCTCAGAAATTCAGATGCTACATTCAGATCCAAACCAGAAATTACCTTCTGGATATTTATGACACTGGAATTTTTTTCCTTGTCTCTTTTTTTTTTTTAATAGCATTTTGGTATAGCACTGTGTAGCTAAACAGTTGTATGCTATTCTCAGTTCAAGAACTGCAAATGATGTGGAATTTATCATCAAGAATGTCAATGCTGAAGCTATTCAACTCACACAACACAAAAATTCTTCTAAAGACTAACAGTTGCGAGGTCTTTTGACAGTGACTGCAGTGGCTAAGTACAGCTGAAAACAAGAGATTTCAGGCGATATTTGTGATCCACTCCAGAGGATCTCTGCCCTCTTCTCCCCTGAAGCAGCTCCCTCTACCATCACCATGAGTGGTATCCAAGAGCAGCTCCATCCAGGGGGACCACGAGGCCTCTAGTAGGTAGAACATGGCACTGTGTGCTTGTAACTATTGTAACAAACTCCCCTAGAGTTAAAATGCAACGATTTGTTTTAGTTTTATCATTCTCAGGCAACACCTTTGATTTACTAAGTTGGCAGAATTGTCAGTGTAGTCACCTGGGAGGGATCAAAAGCGAGAGGAGGCAAGGGGCTCTGTTCAAATGGAAGCACGGGCTGTCTGTGAAGGCAGGCAATTTAGCACCATGAAGCAAACCAAGGGCGATGCTCAAATTGAACTGCTGTTGCCTTCCCGCCGTTTCATACATAATCCTCACTCTTGCAACAAGTAATTTGGTTGTAGGAATGTGCCCTCTGGACTGATATTCAGGAAAACTGTCAAAGATTCCAGGTGAATAGCTTAAGAGCAATCAAGTGTAGCATTTAATACAAAGCTTTAAATGGTAAGACAAGTTTATAGGAAAAAAAAATCCAGCCAATCTCACCCAAGGTAAAGACTATTTTATATTACTGAAGGTAGGTCACATTCAATAACGAGAATAATCCAAGAAAAATTTTTTGGTACCACACAATCCAGCTGGCTTGTCCCATCTGAGTCAAGATAATCACACGTGAAAACCAACACTGAAGATTCCTGGGTACTGACAGCTCCCACCAACGCATTCACACTTTTGGTTACTCAACAAACTGGATACCTGTCATTTCAGTTAGCAGCATACAGAGGAATTGCTCCAATCCCGGGCACTACACGCAGCACCGCTTCTGAGGCTCGTTCCAGTGTGGAAAAGAGAGGTTGTGAGAGTGGTGCCAGGTACAGTCAGCAAGAGGCAGAAGAGCGCAAAGGGAGCCCATGCCATCAATAGAGCACAACCACCGAGTTTATCTGTAAGATCACAATATCACTTCCCTTTCAGAAAGTGTCTTGTTTATTTAGCTTTTAATGGTATGGCATAAGGACTCGTGTATTTTATGGATAGATACCAAACTGGTATTATCAAAATAAACCATCTGTTTTATAAACCCACTATTTACAAAAACGGTTTCTGAAGTTTTTTTGTTTTGTTTTGTTTTTTTAACAAAAATTAAACTATACACCAATCTAAGTTACAGAAACAAAAATAACCTTTATAAGATCACATGTATAAAACAAGAAATGAAATGTGTTTTTATTTAAGGCAATACTGGGCTACTTCACAAATCACCACCTCAAATATATACACTGCTCCACACTACTAATTTTCTATCACATTCACA